CACATGCCAGATTCATTAGGATGGTCACTTGAGCTGTATGCAAATTTCAGGGAGTGAATTACTTTAAGGAGTGGTTAAAGAGGGTACTTGCAATTTAACAATTTTATTTATCTATTAGTTTAATAAAAGGGTTAGTCTCTTTTTCTAGTTGATATACAATTCATGATTATTTTTCTTTGAACAAAATTCTTATTGAAGAGAATAACACAAACGTGTTTCACTTCCTTTAGGTGTACGAGATTTAGAAGATTGTGTTAATATTATTGTTCTGTAACATCGATTATAGTGGTTACTGATTAGATCAATCTGAGTAAAATTCTTGTTTTGTAAAACACGTTGTGAGTAACGCGAGATACACATCAAACTACCATGTCAAATCAATTGCTGCCACGTCAGGAATAGTTGGAACTCGCGCTTTGCAAAATGCAAGGTTCCTACCATGTCAGGGATATTATATGCAGGCTGCCCAAGTCCCTTCCACATCTCGTCAACAAACTATTCTACTAAAAATAGAGATTTCCATTCCAATTCGTATTTCAAGCAAATAGTGGTAAAGAAGAAAACTACACACACAAGGTTAAAACAAAAAGATAATTGATCAACAGGCTCAATTTCACTCGTAAGTTATTTGACACTTCTTGATTATTACATAGTTTACAAGTATTGTCATTTTGTGCACATTGTGGTATTCTCTTTGCATGATGTATAAATTTTTAGAACATGATGATGAGAGGAGCTGTTACTGTTTTGGTATACTATGATGGCAGAATGATGCGTGATGAATCGCTTGGCATCGTCTTTCAGTCTGCACATGCGTGATGAAGTATCGACTACCAACATCGTTAGAACAACTAACGTACTCGATATGCAACGTTTACGATGATGGTGATGTGGACATGATGATCAATTGCCACATGCATTGTCATTTTGTGCATATTTTGGTATTCTCTTTGCATGATTGTATATATTTTTAGAACATGTCGAGGAGATAAATTGTTACTGTTTTGGTATACTATGATGGCAGAATGATGCATGATGAATCGCTTGACATTGTCTTTCATTCCGCACATACTGTGACAATAACCTTGCCGAAGAAATTAATTCATAAGAAGTTGATGAATGAAGTCAATAATGTTGTTCCACATGGTAATGGGAAAAATTGAGCACGTTGAAGTATCGACTACCAATGTCTTTAGAACAACTAATGTACTCAATATGTAATGTTGACGATGATGATGATGTGGACATGATGTTCGATTGCCACATACAATATTCATTAGAAGGGCCACTTGAGTTGTATGCATATTTCTCATATGTTAATGAAGCTACTATTGTCCCAAATTGGAGATGAACTGATTTTGACTTCGATCCTAATGTTCATAGTCCAACAGCTAATTTACGCAATGATATGAACTTATTGAGTGTTATTGCTTGGGGAAATGACATTGGTGAATCATCTTCTTTGATGCCAAGGCGTTCTTACGTCGCTAGCTTGGACTTTGATTTAAATTTGCAACCTAGAATGTACAATCCAACAGTAGTGGCGTAGGTGCATCATCTTTTCAGTAGGAAATGAGGTTGTATGAAGATGAAGCGTTTAACCCATTTGAAGATTTGTCAATATCTATGGGGAGACATTATTGTACTGGTGCTGTTGACTTTTATCTTCGTGGTACGGTTCATGAGTGATCTCATGATCGATGTACATCTGTTACTCGTGTTGTCCTCGTAGTCGACAATGCTGAACTATTCCGGTTTGATGGGGATACTTTCGGCGAAGAACCATTAAGGGAGATCGACCCAAATGGTGACGAGCCCCTTTAATGAATAATCAGAGGTCCTTGACATGTTAGTTGAAGCGAATGATAATGACATTCCACATGTTGTGCCTCTTGTTTCTTATTAACAGCCACCATCCTACTTCACAACTGTTGAGATGGAACATTTAAATGCTCTGGACTTTCCGAAATTCAAGTAGTTTGATCAATACAACGAATATGGTAATGGTGAGATCTATGTTGGAATGACATTCAAAATAAAAGAACTCGATGTGGGAACAATTAAGAACTATAATATACGCCGCTTGGTTACGTCGATTGTGAAAAAACCTACGCAAATAAATACTTGGCTGAATGCATCCACAAGTCCAACGGATGTAATTGGATGGTTCATATATCATGCTTGAAGAGGTTGAACAACCTATGGAGGCTAACAAAATACGAACAACCTCATACATGCACTGCTAACAGGCTCACTCAAGATCATCCAAACTTAGCTGTTCACGTGCTTTATGATGCCTTCATACCACCGATCAAAGCAAATCCACGTATTACGGTTTCTAGTTGTATTTCTGCAATCACATATCAGTATGACTATAATGTTAATTACCATAAAGTGGGGTATGCTAGGTATCATGTTCAATAAAAAGTGTATGGTCAATGGGAAGAATCGTACAAAGAGTTACAACCATAGCTAAAACTCATGAAAAAATACATACCAAACAAGGTGCATGCCAATTTCACAGGCTATTTTGGACATTTACGCAGTGTGTTAATGCATTTCGACACTGTAAATCGATGGTTCAGATTAACGACACTTGGTTGTACGACATATACACACAAATAATGTTGTTGGTAGTGGCACAGGACGACAAAGGAAAACAATTCTCATCGCATTCACAATTGTTGAAAAAGAAGATACAGACTCTTGGGAATTCTTTTTTAAGCATTTGCACATATATGTTCTATCACATGTTTTATGAGAGCGTTCTGCTGGGATATGTCTTATTTCTGACAGAGGTGCAGAGATCAGATACACAATCAAGTGTATGAGAATGTCTTGACAGTCTCCTTATATTTATCACTGGTACTGTTTACTCCATATTGCCTCAAATTATTTACAGAAAGTTAGGAACAAAAATGAACGCATAATGGTGCTTTGAATGGGTATGTCTTTCAATTTATTTGTATTCAGATATATTGTTATTTATTATTTATAATTAACTATTGCATTAACAATGAGTAGGCCACTCGTATTCTGCACGTGAGGTTAATGAGCTATTTGAAGAAATAAGACACATGAATTAGGAAGGCTACAACTACCTTGCTAAAATCCCGAGGGAGAAATGGCTTCGGTCATTTGATGGGGGCAAACGATATGGTCACATGACAATGAACTTGGCTGAGACAATCAATTCATCACTGAAGGGAGTTCGACATTAACCTATCACTTCAGTTGTCAAAGTGACATATTATCATTTGGAAACCATGTTCGCAACCTTGGGAAGGCAAGCAGATGAATGGATTGTAGGTGGTCACATAATCCACCCAGAACTCCATAGAAATTGCAAACCTTTCTGCAACACTCAAATGCGATGAGTGTGACATGTGTCTTTCGTGAACAAAATCAATTATGTGTTTTTGAATATTCGAGGCCATTCAAAGGCATACAACACAACTCATTCATCATCAATCTACTTGATAGAACATGCGACTGCGGAGTATTCCAAACATTCAAATATCTATGTCCGCATGTCATTGTCGTTGTTCTACTGTACGGATAGACTATGTGCAGTTCATTGATCACATGTACTTACTGGAAATCATATTCAATGTGTATCGGTACGAGTTTCCTCCGATTGGAAACGAAAGAAATCCGGATGTGGTTGATGATGAACCTACAATATGTCTAGATTTCGCACTACAATGCCAAAAAATGGGGCGTCCACGCTCAATGAGGATTTACTGTGACGAATATTTGGTCGACCATCGAGAAAGAACCAGACAACTGAAGCTTTGTGGTATTTGTAGGAATCCTCGACACTCGAAGAATAAATGTCCTGATCGATCACACCCTAATCTCGATTAGTTTGTTAGCTTATTCTTCATGTAAAAAAAAAGCTTTAGAACCATTTTTAACGCAATTTTTACCTCGATTACAATGTCTCGTATGTGCGTATATTACTCTCAATCGAAAAATAACTTACATTACTACATATGTGCTATTATAATTTATGCAATTTTTCATATTAACTACAAAAAAAAACCCTCGAATATGCCTATCAAATCATTTTAACATTTTCTTCATGCACAAAACAAGCTTTGGAACCATTTTCAACACGATTTTTAACCCGATTGCAATATCTCGTAGGTCTCCATATTAGCCTCAACTGAAAGAAAAATTCGAATACTACGCCTCTAATCTTAGAAATTACAAAAAATTTGAGATTAATACCCGAACATGTCCTCCGAACATGCCTATCAACACATGTGATTTGTTCTGCAAAACGCGATGTATTAACTACCAATATTAAATTTCGTCCAGGTAGGACATTCCTCGCTCCTTGTAGAAAGCGAGGACCATATGCGCATCTAGTGGGACGTGAGGTAATCCTACGTGTGAACTTTAGGAGTTATTTTTCTAACAAATCTACTAAGGGGTTATTGTTAAAAAAGTAATTAATGGGGGTTTTAATATAATAACCCAATCTTCTTGAGCATTCATTTGGGTTCTTAAATATTTTAAATTGAAATTTTCAACCACCACCAGTGTCTATTTATGTCGATATTATTGTCCCTAGTTGGAAGTTATGGGCTTGTGGCTTTCAGCTCTGCAATTTTCTGAAATAAAAGGTTAATATCATCGTAACAAAAGTTTTCCGTTTGCCATCCGTCGATGGTGGACCACTCTTGTTGAATCGATTAATTATAAATATTAGCTATGCTTTCCGGAAGAACTGGAAGTGCTGGGGTTTATTAACTCTTACTCCATGTTATCTGGTTTTAAATCTGGCTGAAAGAATAAAACAATGAGTTGATGAATCTTTATGTTTTTCTCAAGTAAAAATCAGCTTCAATGGCAACAGTAATTTTTATTAATTACTTCATAATTTTATTCTTAAAGTCAAATCTTTTGCAATAAATGCTGCATATTTATGCGGAATGGTTAATACACAGTGAAAATGATACTGCATCCTAGTAAAGTAATATTCAACAACCGGCTTAGTCCGATTTCGTAGTTTGCAGAGTAGCAGAAGGACTCACTTTATTCCTTGATTTAGTAAGCGTGTATTTCACCATCCCTACAATCTTGTAGAACCAGAAAGTACTCACTAACTGCAGTCCTACGGCCGTTGCCTGGGTAACAACACGTCAATGCTAGTAGTCAGTAACTCGAGATATTAATCGACGATTGATTTAGGAATAAGAGTGTAACTAGTCACAAGTAATACCTTGATAAGTATAGGATTATTGGCTGATAGAGTGAGGAAAAGGAGATAAGGTCCACCCACCATCCTTGCTACCGAAAATATTACAGCGAATATGATCTGTTCAAAACTCAAACTACCATTCATCTTCAACTTCACTATGCTAAATTATTCAATGCTATTTAAAAACCTCACGCTAGTTAATGATTAATAAATTACCGGAATTAGGTTAGGTGCAACTACTAATGCAAAGCAAAAAAGGCTTTAAAAACATTTAAGATTTTGGAAACTAACATCTGCTGCTAGATTGAGGTGGGTGTCCTTGTAGCCAAGCTCTTTAAGCAGCTCCCTGGCGTGGAGGAAAGGACTTGAGATCTCCGTTATGAATAATGCTGCAACTTGTTCTGATCCACACCGCATAATATATAACCACTTGATTTTACAGGATAATCTAATCTAGTAGAAACCATGAATGGCCTAACCGAAACCGCTTAATCCTCTAATGGAGTAATGTTTAGAAACTTGGGACTTCGATTTTCGTCGAATAAACTTTGAAAATTAGAAGAGGAAGAAAAAAAAAAGAGTTAAATCCTCTAATATCGTTTACAAAATTGAGTTTTGATTTCATCTTGGAAAAGAGGAGTTGCAGATGTAATTTGTAAACACCTGTGAAACTATTCCGAAAGAAAATCGTCATATTTGATTGATACAAAATGTGAAAACCAAAAATGAATGAAGGATGAAGACCTTTCGAAAGGCAAGGCCAGCACCAAGACCAACGATGCCGACCAAGCGATGAACTGCGTCGTCAAAACTGAAACGCTCGTCAGAGACGGAGCATATCAGGTCATATATAAAATAAGCCGCCGTAACCGCTAAAATAAGGTGTGCGACGCGAATCAATCTGGATTAATCAAAACGAAACCTTAAAACCGGGAGGGCAACCGAAAAAAAATATTATGAAAAATGTCATATTGTCTATTGTCAATCGAAAATGTTACGAAGAAGACAACATTTTTAATTCAACATAAAATATTAAGGAAAACTTAACATTTTAAATTGTATCCGATAAAAAATATTATATTTTTATAACATATTTTATTATACTTATTTTTCTATGGTTCCTTACCCTTAAATTAGTAAGTTGGTTGTTCCTTTACTCTCGGTAAATACGCTAATGCAGTTGTGGAATAAAATAGTTGCTCGATCATGTGTATAATGGCAAGCAGGTCCACAAATAATGAGTTTTTACGTGTTCAAAAAGTCACGTTAATCACTTATTCATTAACTATCTTAATTTCTTAACAAAATTATAATACGATATATTAATATTAACTATCTTAATTTCTTAATGGCAAGCAGGTCCACAAAATTGGTTGGTCTCAATTTTTTTATACCAGTTTTGTTAATGAATTTGTATATATAGGAATCCATTATAGAAATGTAATACTTCTATATTTAATAAAAAAATAATATTTAAATACAACAATGAATTTTAATCACAATTGGAGTTTTTAAAACTCAAATCCAAATCAAAATTCTACATGTGTCAACACTACGAAAATTACCATATGCATCCCGATAATCTTGTATGTAACACTGCCCTAGTCCAATATTTTCGTTTGCAAAGTAGAAACCAGACCCACCTTTCTTCTTTTCATCAGCTTGTATTTCACCATCTTTACAATCTTGAAGAACCAGAAAGCACTCACTAATTGCAATCCTAGGGCCATTGCCTGAGTAAATCACAGTTACATTTATTGATTAATTTATGATTGAACCAGGAAGAAGAGGATAATTTGTCACAAGTTATTACCTTGAGCAATACAGGATTATTAGCTGACAGAACGATGAAAGTGAGATAGGGTCCACCCACCATCCTCGCTACCGAGAATATTACGCAGAATGTGATCTGTTCAAAAACCAAACTACGCAATTCAATCCCGAGCAAAACTTGATTCGACTCGAAAAATTGAGCTTTGGATGGATAACTAAATACAAAGCCTAAAAAATGATTAAGAGTATGGAAACTAACATCTGCTGCAAAATTGAGGCCAGTGTCCCTGTAACCGACTTCTTTAAGCAGCTCCCTGGCGTGGAGGAAAGGGCTTGAGATCTCCGTTATGAATAATGCCGCAACTTGTTCTGATACACACTGCATAATATATAACGTGTTGGTTTGAAGGTAGGGGTTTGATTTAGTCTTGCAAACAGGAGTTGGAAAATGGAAGGTATAAATTTATGCACACCTTTTGGAAGGCAAAGCCAGCCGTAATACCAAAGATGCAGACCAAGTGATGAAATGTGTTGTCAAAACTGAACTGATTACCGAAGAGGGAGCATATCGTGTCATATATAAGATAAGCTTCTGTCACAGCCAAAGTTTGCTTCTGCTCCAAACAAACAACTTCATATTTGAGCTCAAATAAACAGATAATAAAGAGAGATGAAGAGGCTGCATTGCTTGGCACATACCTGCTTGAGATAAGAGGTTGAATCCGCAGGACAAAGTGGGCAGCTCCAATCTTCAACAGAGAGCCAGGCTGAAATCACAGCCAAAATAGCATGGATCGTGGAAACGATGCGGTTGCAGAATCCAAAGGAGCGTGTGGGGAAGATTATTCTGATGAATAGAAAAAGTGAAGTCCATGAGATTACTCCCAACATAACCAGATTCACGGCATCGTATTCCTCCCCCATGAGTTTCTTCCAAACTCAAAGTTAACCCAACAAAAGCTGAATAATGAGGCAAAAACAGCTTTCGGGAGTGGGAGTAAATGGAGAACCTAACTTGAGGTGCAGTCCCCGAGTTGAGTTGTTGTAGCTTCTGATTCTAATTAATAACGGAAGCAGCAAAGTGCATGACCGTTAACAATATCATCAATCATTTTCTCCTTCATTTAATGCCATAAAAGGTAGATATAGATTCTCTCTCCATCCTCAAATATTACAACCGGTTATATTTACTCATTCACTATTGGATTAGTGAAATAGACATTTGAGATTAATTTTTTTTTATTTTTTTTAATAAATATCTTTTTATTTTTTATTCATCTATTTTTACTCATATGGTGGTCTTAAATTATACTCTCTCCCTCTCTATCTCTCTCTCTATATATATTATCACGCCTATATTTTAATTTTTTTAAATATATTAATGTGACATATTTAAAAAAAATTAATTTTATTAATCAAGTTACTTAATTATTTAAATAATTTTAATTAAATAACAAATCATTAACATTTGACGAAAGAACTAACATGATAGTTAATAAATATAATAATCATATTTAGTTTGATAATTTTAATTTAATTAAATTAAAAAACTCAATATAATAAAATTAAATTTATTAAATTATTCAAGATAAGAGTACCGGCTACACCCGGTTATTGTTACATAAAACAGTAAATCCACTTTTAATTATATATCAAAGTAAACCATATTTAATTCTTTTTTTTCCTTCTACTTTTTCTTCGATATGTACTTTCTGCCTATTTTTAATGCAATGAATGAGTTAAGTACTAAAAATACCGAATTTGAGTAATATTTCACCAGACGATTAAGTGCACATCATATTCATTTTCGGGTGCTAATTAAATATAGTAATCAATTTGGTGTTTGGCGTGAAGAAATAGAGAAATGATGTACTCTGGAAAACATTATTTCCCTTCTTTGAAAGAACAACTACCACAAATAAACTAAGAAGAGTGAGAAACACTTTGTTTTGGTAGGGCACATTATTTTTTTGAGAGAGAATTTGGTAGGGCACATATTACGAATAAGGCCGGGAATACGACAGCCTGCTTCGCCAGATTAAGAGCGTCCGCTTTGAATATTAAACTATGAGGAGTTTTAGGGTGCCGCACCTTAATATAAATTGCGATCTAAAATATTATAAATATTAGGTTATGTGTTATCTTAAATATCATATTTTTTAATATTTTTTATTTTAATTTAAAATATTATAAAAATGATAATATTTTTTATTGTAACTTAAAATAGGTTAACAACCGAAAAAAACAAAAATAAAAAATTATTTAAAATATTATGTTGCATTATAATATTTTAGGTCGTACCTTTATTAACCTTATAATAAATGTTTGTACAGGAAAATTCTCCTTAAACTATAACTATAAAAAAGGTCGGTTGTACAATTTTTCTCAGCATTTTCAGTTTCAATTAAAAGCTAAGAAATTTGCAACTTTGCAGAAGATGACAGCAGCATGATCATCAATACACGACTGTCAAATACCAATTGTAAGTGCAACATTAGATAATGATTTAAGGCTTAATATATAAACAATTGGTTAAACTATACTTAAAATTAATTTTTGGTATTTGAATATTTTTTGTTAAAAATAAATGTTTAATGTTTTTTCGTTATATTTTTAGATATCAACCGTTTAAAAAAACCGTTAAGTGACACGTGTCATTTAAAGATAGACACTTAAAGTGTAACATAGAAAATATTAAGTATTTATTTTTAACAAGAAATTCTTTAAATCCCAAAAGTCAAATTTTAAGTATAATTTAGACATTTATTTTTGTATTAACCTATGATTTAAAGATTAAGCTTTACTTTTATTTTATTTCCATTTATATTTATATTTGACTATCAAATGTCACCGTTGGTCCCTCTTGTAACTGTTAACGTATTATGCCACAAATAACTTTGTTTTGTTCTCAACTCTTGGTTTTAAGTGTGACAATAAAATTGATTAAATTATTAATTCACAAGGCAACTTCAATAGGCGAGTAATGCGTTTATCATGCACATGTGAAGAAGGAACTCAACTAGCGGTACAGGTACAGCTTCTTTGTCCGAGTAAATCCGAATTAGAGTGGATTATTGACCAAACAATGCTAAAACCAGTTGCAGCGAAACCATTGGGGTCTGAAAATTGAGAAACTGATAGGGCTCTTAGGAAGACATTAAGGTTTTTTTTTTTGGCAAACTGATAAATTATTTGAGAAAATAGAGCTAAGTAAAAATTTATTTTGGAATCTACTGCATTTTCTACAGTATTCATAGAATTCATCACCTCGAGAAGATAAATTTTAATAAAAAATATTTTTATTCAAACTCGTCACTTCGATATGATGAATTCTGATAAAATATAATTTTTTATTAAAATTTTTCACATTAAGATAAAAAAGTTTGAATAAAAGATTTTTTTATTGAAACTTGCAATACATCTCAGAATAAAAGATATTTTGTTAGGTTTTTTTTGGGGCTGCCCTATTGGGACAAAAAAAACTGACATTAAGTCCTCTACTCTCCGTAAATTCCAGCCCCAGCACAACACAGAACGACTAGTGCACAATGCATTGTGTAATTAATGGTCGAAACTGTCATAAATACAGCAAAGAAGAGTTGAAAAGGCCAAGTATAGTAAATTTCTTAGTGCTTACTTTTACTAATCAATTCAATTCTTCATCGAGTGTAACCGTCAAGCGCTGAAGCCTGAAAGTCTGCATTTCTCATATCAGAGTCATCCATAATGGCATGTAAAACCTACAAAGAACAACCTTGCTCTCTAGAAATCAAGAAAATAAGTTATCAAAAAAGAAAAAGAAATCAAGAAATTAACTTCATTTCTATATTACTTTGAACCCCCAAAACCCACCATTGGATATCTTAGTACATACTAAATTCCAAAACTAAGCATTTATATTTGATCCAATTCAAAGTTTATCACACTCATGCCCTACCCAGCCCAAAGCTATGGGCAAACGTGGGTTAATGGAAATTTAATGCCACTCCTGTTGATGGTATTAGCTTGGAAAGGGAAGACTCTAACTTAAGAAGCTGAGATGAGGCTCCTCATCTCCTGCCAGTAAAAGAGGAAACTCAATCTTTTCGATATTTTATCCAAAAACCCTTCTTCCTAGCAGAATCGTTCTCAGATAGTGATCTACCCCACTTAGACCCAATCGAGAAGTGGCGTTTTAAGAAAGGCTTTGCCAAGGAGCTTCTCCGGCTTGAGCTGGGTTCCAACTTTGTATCTTTTCCTTCTCGTTTGTTGTTCTCTACGTGTTCAATATCATCACAACAATCATCAACAGAACTATCTATAATTCTATTCTTGAACAACTTAAGATGTTTTGCCTTCAACTCTGCTTCAGCTTTTAATGCTTTTTTGCACATCTTTGAGACCTGTTTTTCTCCAACCATACATATTGGGCAGGCTGGGTCATATCTGTCAGCCTCTAGTGTCATTGTCTCCAAGCATTCAGCATGATAAACATGTCCACAGACAAGCACAGAAACCACTGAAATCTCATTGGTACTCCATGCGGATCTCTCAGCTAAAAGCTTTGAGCAAGCACCACAAGTTCGCATCTCTATGGATGGTGAACATGAAAATCTGCTGCTACATCCATTTGTCTTGCCATAACTAGAACTTAAGTGTTCACTGTCAAAAGACCACCTTTCTCTTTGAGAAGAGGCCACAACCTCTGAAAAAGTGCATACGGACCAGCCATCAGAAGAGCCACCATGAGACCTAGCTGTTAAACCATTGCTACAACTGGAGAGCACGAAAGATGACCTTGCTTCAGACATTGAATAATTATTTGGCGACTTCAATCCCAGGATTCGACTATCAGAAACCTGCCTCAATAGCTGTTGCCCAGGTGAATGGCAAGCCCGTTGTGATGGAGTTGAGTTTGGAGGAAGCAAATGAGCATGGCTAGACGAAGTATCCGTTATTGGTGATGAAAATGAAGAAGGTATACAAAAAGAAAGCTTTGGTGTAGATGAATCAATGATATTGGGCGATTCTGCCAAATTCTTCACCTGAAATATAACCAGAAAGGTATTTTAGCCATCAGTAGAATAGGATAGTGCATCACCACAATTCACAGGAAACACACAGCATAAAAGTTAATTCAAGTAAAGTCGATATCAGCAAAATCAAACTTACATCAACTGAATAATTGCTTGCTCTTGATATGTCTGCACCAACAACATAAAACAATATCAAACACAACAGAAACAAGTCACAAAATAGAGGGAACAGGCTAGCAGCTTCATTACTCGGAGCAGTACTGAGAGAAAAAGGATAGAAGTAGACAATAACATGATAAATGCAACTTGAATATACACAAACATGTCTGTTTTATTTTTATTCGACCATGTTACCCTGCATATTAAAGGTTATGCATTATCAACAGGATAGAAGACCATTGTATCCTTTTGCATCCATGGGCTAAGTTACATAAAGTACATAATCTCCAAATGAAACAATTAACATAGAAAAAAAGTTCTAGAAAAAATTTCCTAAACCCCTTTAGGGCCTTAGGCTATTTCAATTGGCAAGTGATTTTACCTGAAGGATGGGTTGTCATATTCTCACCCATTTCTTCACGGACTGGTGATTTTTGAGAAGCGGGTGTTCCATATGCCTCAATCTCATGTAGACTTCCTTGATCAGAAAGATTACTTCTATCAGATCCCAATGTCCCCTTTATCTCCATGCTAACATTTCTGCTAGTTCCATTAGACACCTGATAAGAAGGCTCATAAATTTCACCAGCTACACGCCTTCGATTATCTCGGCAGAAGCTCCATGATGGCGAACACCTCACATTTCTATTCAAAGTTTCACGTCCTGTTCTGTTTGGAATGATTCTGTCCCTTGCAGCAACACAACAAGCTGATCCCATGATCACTCAAATACCCGAAAGTGATTTTATCTTACAAAATTGCAACACCGATTCAAGCTATGAACTCAAGGGAAAATGCTGCATAGATGAT